ATGACAGGACCGGTGCACTTGTGAACTCACAACAGCTGTGGTTGCCTACAAATGACCAAGCCAGTAAACATTCTAGCATGGACGTGGGAGGGATTCACAAGACTTCTCTCATAGCTGAGGAGCTATTGATGGCTGCTGAGGAAGAGTCAGTTTTCCTTAGTGGCATGGCCCATACTTGGTAGATTGCCCATACTTCAGTGGTCAGCCCTAGACCCATAGCATACTGGAAGTACTAATTGGACTCAAGTGGGCTATCAATACACACACACACACACACACACACACACATGAGAGAGAGAGAGAGAGACAGAGACAGAGAGACAGAGAGACAGAGAGACAGAGACAGAGAGACAGAGAGAGAGACAGAGAGACACAGAGAGAGAGATGCTGTAGGAGAGTCTGGGCAGAGTTGGAGTGGAAATGAGTACAGATATGAACAAAATACATTGTATACATGTATGACATTCTCAATAAAATTTAAAAGTACTGGGGGGGTATATCCAAAAGACCTATCCAGCCTGTACAAGACCATGAATAAACCCCTTAACATAGCAAAAGAAAAATATTTAAACTATATATTTCAATGTAGACTCTCTAATGAGATCACTTTTACCCAAATGTTTGACTCAGTCCAACATCTAATCACTTATTGAAATCTCGATTCTTAATTTCTCCAACATATTTTCTATTATTGTGAACTATGTACCAGACTTCTTTGCCTAGCTTCATCCCACTATAGTTGCCCCAAAGCCTGAGTTAACACCAGCCAAGCACAATCCCAAATACTACAGAAATCTTGAATATTTGGCAAGACTTACTACCATGGAGCCATCGAAAATGGAGGTGCCATATGAAAGTAATTTAAAATTGGACATCTATAGTACAGACTGCTCAAGGCTCAGGGAACACTGAAGAGTGAGGAAAGATTGTTAAGAGTCAGGAGATCAGGGATGACCAATGCAAAACAGTGTCTCCTGGGTGGGACAAGGCTGCATAAGATCAAGCCAGCCAACGTTCCAGTGTGGGTGGGGGAGAGGCTCATAATGTGCCCCCAACCTCCCCCTGAAGAGATACAGACCTTTGATGACTGCTAGGGAAGAGTCAGTTTTCTTTATGGATGTGGTCCATGGGAAGACGGAGGGGAGTGGAAGAGTATATATAACCAAAATACATTGTAGACTCAGAAATTCTCAAAGATGATTTTAAAGCTGTCCCTTATACTTTCATCCTACATAATCAGTGATAAGAATATGAATGTAGGAACGCTGACTCAAAGTAGTGATTGTCTACTTGAGTTTGGTGGAAAAAATCATGGGAAGTTGCAGACCAATTACCTTGTGTCAATGCCTGGGAACAAATGCTCAATTAAATAGTAACTTTGAACTATTTCCCTAAGAAAAATTCATAAGTTGACCTGAATTTTCAATTAATAGAAATGATTCTTGGCAACACAGGGGAAAGTATGTTTCCCACCAAAAAAGTGAGGGGTGGAGAGAACAGGCTTATATAAAGAGGTACAGAGATTGACAGAGACAGCAGTGAAAGTTTAAAAACTGACGTGGTGAAATGCACTCACCTCACCTCTTCAGTATGCAGCTGGAGTTCGAGACCACTAGACTCCTGGAGCTCAGCCTGGTGCTTGGCTGCAGATCTCTGCATCTGCTTCTATCAGTTACTGGATGAAGGCTCTATGAGGACAGTGAGGGTATTCACCAATCTGCTTACCAGGGTAGGCCAGTTCAGGCACCCTCTCCACTACTGCTAATCTAAGCTGGGGTCATCCTTGTGGATTCCTGGGAACTTCCTAAGTATGTCCATCATGAAATTTATTGCCAAATGGGCTCTGAGATTGTTAATAAATGAAGCTTTACATTGTAGAGATCCACAGCCAAGCACTGGGCTGAACTCTGTGAGCCCTATTGAAGAGAGGAATGACTGTATGGGCAAGGGGGTCAGGGTCATGATGGGAACCCACAGAGATGACCGACTTGAGCTGGCAGGAGCTCACGACTCTGGACCAACACCTAAGGAGCCTGCATGGGACCAATATAGGCCCTCTGTATGTGTGTGAGAGTTGTGTAGCTTGATCTGTTTATAGGGCTCCTAGCAATGGGATCAGGACCTGTCCCTGGCACTTTGGCTGGCTTTTGGAAACCCATTCCCCATGCTGGATTGCCTCACCCAACCTTGATGCAGGGGGAGGAGCTTGGTCCTGCCTCAACTTGATGTGTCACACTTGGTTGACTCCCGTGGGAGGCCTGCCCCTTTCTGAATGGAGATGGGGGTGGAGTGGATGGGACAAGGGTAGAAGGGAGGTGTGGGGAGGGAACAGGAAGAGATAAAGGGAAACAGTGGTCAGTATGTGAAAAAAAGTAAAATAAGTGAAGCTTTAAATGGAGTGACTTAAAACTTTTATTATGCTGGTGAGAACACATGGTGGACAAAAGTGGGTGTGTGATGTGTGCAGAATTTACCATTAAGCAGAGAGAAAAAGTCAGTGTCTTAGTCAATGAGTGTCAAGTCGTATCACTCGGTGCTCCGGATGTCTTCCAGCCCAGATTGCCTTCCCTAAGCTGTCAGAGGAACAGTTTCGGCATACTCAGAGATGGGGTCACAAGGCGATGGTGCAGTTGTGCTGGTGGCATTGTCAATCCTCAAGCTGGGTTTGCTCTCTTTTATTTTCTCCAACAGTTTCTCCATTATCCAGGCTCGAATTATCTATCTTCAACCTGTAAGACCACAGAGCATTAATGTTCCCAGGGAGCATAAGTCATGTTGTCTTTAAGACATTCATTCCTAACTGCTCCCACCAAAGAAAAGAATCTGTTTCAGG